CATGTAAGTCAAAGCTGGCCTGTATGCACCGCTCATGCCCGATAAGCTCCGATTGTCAGAGTTTACTTCGAGAGATCTGTTCAGATCGAGAAAAGCATCGTTGTATATTTGGGGAAAATTAGTTTTTTAAATGGCCTAAAGCCTATTATACACAGAACAATATAAACATACACATAATATACACCGTAGCTGTGTATTTGCTGATCTTACTTAAGCGCAACGCATAGTCTGGGATTTCGGAGCTCGCGCCATATTTTCAGAACTGCAAGTACTAGGTCCCTGATAAGCAGTCAGACCAAGCATTTCGCTATGCCTATTACTACAATGAGCAACAGATGTAATTGCATGAAGAAGATTATTAGGGTCTTTTGCCTTAAGTAATGCATCAATAGCCAGGCCGCTTGCATCGGTTTCGTTCCGTTCAGATTATCGAAGGGAATAGGCGGGAGTAGTTCAGTACTCGGGCCAATGACAAATGGGCTGTGAGTCTCGAGTCATAGACTATAGACCACAGTAGAAGAATCACACTTTCACCTTTGACACTGCGAGGTTAGTAGGCCGGGCCAATGACAAGATAGGCAGACTGATACTGGAAAGTTTGTCCTCGACTGGCACACTTAACAGAGCCATAGACCCTCATCCCACCTACTAAACGCTCCGCGCAAAGCTCACGTCTGCTCGGAATGGGGAAATAGATCGGACGAAAAAAGATACACAGGACCGACAGCTGACACCCGCGAAGGAAGAAGGTGGCAACGATCAGTTATCACATAAACAGTGTGGCAAACCTTTGCATGGAGGCGCTCGCAAGGTCGAGAACGAATCACCAGCAATCGATCGGTGCGATCGATCGACGCGCGTGCATCAGGCACGGTTATAACATGAGGCAAGCGGTGAGACGCATTCATTAGAGGCCGGTGGATGCGTGGGCAACACGCTCTGGCGATGAAAACGAGTGTTTTTGAAACGTCAGGTTATATATAATTTGGTCCCAGCAATTGCCCCCCCCTTCTTCTTCCCTTTTCCGGGGATGGTGAAGGCAATATTATATCTGGACCTCGAGTGTTTGCGCATATGCTCGCTTGGGGATGCTTACGTCAGTCCTTCTCATATCTGCTGAGCCGTCTTGGACTAGGATATAATTTTCTTCAGAAATTAACTAGCCATTGAGTGTGGCGAAACTGACAACTCATGTGGTTAGTGGTCGACTCAGCGTCTTTCCAGCTCCTGTGAAGCTAATAAGAAATTGTGAGGCAAGCGATCGACCAACCACCAGAGCTTGGTTTTACAAGATTGACCACATAGTTATCTTGCATTTAATGCTGGATCGGATAACGCCATAGTGCAAAAATTGAATTATTGTAGACACATCTAGCTGATTGTTAGAGGACACGGATTGAGAAGTTCCGCTTGTCATCGAGGATGTTAGTCACATCAGCACTCTATAGATAAGGAAGACATGCCTTTGGATAACCTTACTGAGCTTTCAGTACCTAGGATGCAGCCTTTGATCATCCTACCTGTTTTTCATGCATTCGGTTGATCCCCATCATTGTTTAATTATATTATGCCCTAGACGAGGTAGTCGGCGACAGAATTTACTTAGTTTTAATGTGTAACTACATTGCCGCAATGGGCACAAATCCATGGTTACTCTGCTACCAAACCAGACTTCGAAGACAAATTGTTTGTGAGAAGCATATGAACACTTCGTGAAGGTAAAAGTATAGTGTTTCTCCGGAGCTGGCAGTAGACCACACACTCCTGACCCGGGACGAGGTTATCAATTACCCTTATATCCATTGGGAATGCAGTGTCAATTGCACTTTCATCAAAGGTCATATCGAGGGTGGTTGACCTAGAAAGGGGACATTTGTTGTGTTGTAGGAAAATAAAACCTTAGATCCGTTTGTTTAAATGACTGGAGATACCACCACGAATCATAAAGCAATCAAGTTATGGAGAATAACATTGATTTGAAGCAAGTCAATACAACGCAAATGATAATTATCAATAATACCTAACTAGGTGTAAATAGAGGGTTTATTTGGTAACAGGACGGGAGGGATTGCGTCACTTTTGAAGTGCCTGGGGGGGAAGGTCCCTGCAACCGTGACAATGGCTGTTTATAGGAGGTATGCCTTATCGAACTGTTTCCGATGTGAGTGAAACCCGGCCACTCGGTTTATCCGAGATTGTGAAATAGCATTATCTGGATAACAAACATATCGAAGACACTGGAAAAATCGATTGGAACTTAGTGCATATAACTCATGTACGCGAAGTGCAAGTCATGCTTTCATAAATAATTGCAGATTACGTCATAAAGAGGACCCTTAAGACCGAATTATTTCAATTCCTGGATATTCACAACGTAAAAGCAACTGTCAGTACGGATTCTGAAAGGAAGATCCTGCACGGCAAACATATTGCAATATTTCAAAAGCTGGAACCGATCCCTATGTAAGGTCCCGAAATATAGTCAGTGTAAGGTTTACATGATTATGGTTACAGCCAATATTTAGTGATGCGATACACATAATTTGAAATACTGAAATTGAGATCATGACTGGCCGGAGATGGTCGTCGGTTTTCAAAAATTAATTAATCCACCCGCCGCTAGTACATAGTAATAGTATCCACGGTTGATCACCCACTGAACGAAGGAAAACTTACGTAAATCTAAACATTTACATTCCTGTTTGACCTTGTACGTGTGGCCAAGCAGGTGAGTCATGTTTGTAACCTTGAAATAATTCCTCAGATATCAGCGAACAGAAATGTACATGGATAATACGGGATGTCCATAGCAGGTCGCACCTCAATTGTCTATAGGGCAAGGTAAACAAGTTAAAGGAGGACAGAGTCCTAAGATCGTCCATCAGTTTAGCTGCCTCTTGTTGCGCCTGCCCGGTATCGTCATTGTCTTCCGTCATCCACAGCACCTATGCTGGCATTCCGTATTCGGAATGCGGTCTAAGAAAAGTACTGAAGAGTTGCGCAAGCAGTTCGGATGGAAACACTGTGAAAGCATGTCTGATCCAATGCTTGATGTTTGTCCATTTTTGATGGCCCTTTGAAGATGTTCACAGGGCGGTACGTTTGAAGCTGTCGAAAAACCTAGCTCGTTATGCTACTCAACTACTTTTAGTGCTGTCCCGTTCTGACAGTTATGGTGTTTAGGAACACATCCCAGTCAAGATTGAAAAAACAAAAATACACGCTTGCATGAGTTAAATGTTATAGGAAAATTCACGGGATCTCCAGCTAACGTTCCGCGTTTTGAGGGATTGCATTGTCGCCATGCGTTTTAGGAATTTTTGAATCTGATACCACGGCCAATTTCCGAGGACACTCATTTAAACTGCGCGTTTAGTTGGCAAGTCTAGATTTTCTCAAGTTTTCCCCCGCTTTCAGGATGCCCAAGCCATGGAATCTCTTTTCAACAGATGCTGTGATGTCCCCCATCACTGGAATTCTTTAAAAGAACCCTTGGCATATAATCTTCAAAAATAGCTCGGATCTACGAGGGATTTTACTTCATCCTTGGAATTCTCGCCCCAAATTGTACCATTGTATAGGCCCGTTTGAATTCTTGCAACCTGCAAGGTTCCTCTGCACATTGCTTTCGATTAACGATGAAAATAGGGTACGCAAATTTTCAGGCATATTTCGCTCAACATACTGAACATGATATTTATCATTTTCCATAATACCGGGGCTTAGGATATAGATTTTTATACGCCCAATGAATACGTTAGCCTTGTCCAAATACCCAGAGATATATCATTCTCTTTACCTTTATTAAAGACGATATATTCAAAGGGGGGCTCGTTAAATGATTCAACTATGAAAGCAATCAGCCTATTGTACATTTTACACGCTTGTGCCAGCTGATAATTCAGAAAGAACTCGATGTTTATTCGTGTTTTTAATTTGAAAAAAGGTGAATTTTTCATTCGATTTGTTTGGTTAGAAAAGTTTCAGTGCTTTACAAATAGAGTAGGTCAGCTCGTGGGAAATTTTACATTGCTTTTAGTGGGCTGTTATACACGCAAGAAAACGAATTTGTTACCCTTTCGAACATTTTGTGCGGTTTTGCATCATTCCCTATGCTTTAACTAGCATATTTGATGTTTCCTGTTTCATTTTCTTACATTTTCTAGATAAAACGAATCTGTGTATCTGGTTAGAGAGTTCCTTCCCATTCGATCTCTTGTCCTACCCTTCATATCGCAATTGCGCACGTAGTTATAATTTTAGCAAACTAAGTAAGTAGATACTCGATTAAAAAACGAGTCACAATATTTTCTGATCTAGTGAGAATTATTTTTTATATTGGCGAGGTTGTGCTAATGATGAATAGTGCATACAGTTAGTACATGTCAAATGTGAAATTGGGGACTTTTGGGGGGCCTTCACGATCGCTTAAGGAATGTTACAACTTCCCTAGTAAAGGATACTTAGGTCTGAAACATCTTCTAGCTTTTTGTTATTTTTTAATTCCATACATCTTACCTGGAGCGTTGATTTGGATTTTGGAAAGCGTTGTATCTGAAGTATTAGATTACGACGTACTTTAACACTTTGACTGCGACTCTCAAAATAGCCTTTATGCCCCTGGGGCGGCGTTTTTAAACTTGCATTACTTTAGGCCTAGACGTGTACCATATATGGCGCACGTCGCAGTTTGGGACATCATTGCATGTACCACATATGGCTCACGTCGCAGTCAAAGTGTTAACTGACGTTGTGAATCCATCAGTTCATTTTTGCGATACTCGCCATTATATATCGCCTCAGTCATTGTCTTCCTATATTATTTTTACTAACAATTTTGATCTTTTAAATTGGCTAGCGCATCATTTTTTTTTTATTTCGTGTCCCGTTTTCCATGCAACAGTACCTGCGCACAGTTCTAGTTTTCTTAAAGGCAATCAACATTCTCCCAAGCCATTTTATATTCGTGTTTATTCTTTTGCATTATCTTTTTAGTTAGAATGCGACAAAAGCGCTGCCCGTCTTTCCTCTCCCACAAACAGCGAGTTGAATTATCCTTCTCCCACTTTGTCAACGATATTTATCGACCCATTGTGAAACCAGCATCCCGGTGCAAGCGAAAGAAGAAGAATGTAGACCCAAAACGAGAATTATATGCCCTCCACGAACATTCAATATCCCTTGTAATGCAATCACCGCCAGCATCATCCGTTTGTCTGCATTCCATTTCCGTCCCCCTTTCCTCAGTGCTGTTAAGCTTTTTTGCTCGATCGCGTAGGGTAGATATCTTTTTTAGCGAGTCTTCCTTTACGCTGTGTTTTGAGGACAGTAACCCTCCTCACAAACGTTCCCTCATCGACGCTGATCTGTCCGACGCAGCATTCCTTCTCTATGCTGCTTCAGCCTCTTGCTTCCTCCTATTTGCTTCCATTGAAGTCTCTTCTTTGCGAATCGATGTTTCGGTGAAGGAA